TCTATGAATTCACCGAGGCTATTAGTTCAAGTAGAGAGAATTTAACAAGCTTCAATTCTATGATTTTCGTCTGTGAATTTGAAGAGCTTCACCTATGAATGTGATATGTTCCATCTGTGATCTCAAAGACCTTCATTTGTGAACTCAACGATTTTCATCTAAAAATGCAACATGGTCCACATATGAATTCAATGAACTACATTTATGGACTCAATAAACTCTGTCTATGAATTCAATAAACTTCATATATGAACTCAATGAGCTTCACCTACGAATATGACATGTTTCACCTGTGATCTCAAAGAATTTTACAAGCTTCAATTCTATGATTTTCGTCTGTGAATTTGAAGAGCTTCATCTGTGAATATAACAAGTTTCGCCTGTGATCTTAATGGTCTTCATTTGTGAACTCAAGGATCTTCATCTAAAAATGCAACAAGGTCCACATATGAATTCAATGAACTACATTTATGAACTCAATAAACTCTATCTATGATTTCAATGAATTTCATATATGAACTCAATGAGCTTCACCTACGAATATGACATGTTTCACCTGTGATCTCAAAGAATTTTACAAGCTTCAATTCTATGATTTTCGTCTGTGAATTTGAAGAGCTTCATCTGTGAGTGTAACAAGTTTCACCTGTGATCTTGATGATCTTCATTTGTGAACTCAACGATCTCCATCTAAAAATGCAACATGGTCCACATATGAATTCAATGAACTACATTTATGGACTCAATAAACTCTGTCTATGAATTCAATAAACTTCATGTATGAACTCAATGAGCTTCACCTATGAATGTGACATGTTTCACCTGTGATCTTAAAGACCTTCATTTGTGAACTCAACGATTTCCATCTAAAAATGCAACAAGGTCCACATATGAATTCAATGAACCACATTTATGGACTCAATAAACTCTGTCTATGAATTCAATAAACTTCATATGTGAACTCAATGAGCTTCACCTATGAATTCAATAAGTGTCATTTATGATCTCAAAGATGTCAGTGTGTGAACTCAACAGTCTCCATCTACGAAGGCCACAAACTCCAGCTATGTATTCAATAAACTACATATGTGAACTCAATAAACTCCATCTATGAATTCAATAAACTCCATCTATAAATTCAATAAACTTCATATGTGAACTCAATGAGCTTCACCTATGAATTCAACAAGTATCATTTATGATCTCAAAGATCTCAGTCTGTGAGCTCAACAGCCTCCATCTACGAAGGCCACAAACTCCACCTATGAATTCAATAAACTACATATGTGAACTTAATAAACTCCATCTATGAATTCAACAAACTCCACATACATATGAACTCAATGAGCTGCACCTATGAATTCAACAAGTTCCATGTATAGTTTCAAAGATCTCAATCTGTGAACTCCATCTACGAATGCAACAATCTCCATCTAAAAAAATCTCCAACTCAACGACCTTCATCTGTGACTATAACAAGTTCCATCTATAAATTCAACAAACTCCACCTAAGAATTCAATAAACTCCATCTATGAACCGAACGAGCTTCACCTATGAATTCAACGAGTCCAGTACCGTCTACAAAAATGGAAGATCTATATTAATTGGAGCGAGGATCGTTAATTAAACTCGATTTCAGTTTCGTTGATCGATGGGTGGTTTCAAGGATTGACCCGCTTTCATTATTCGAAGGCTGTAGTTTCTAAGTTCCTAAATCAATTCTCACCGCGTCGTGGTCCATTAAGTGGAAAATTTCATACTCGAACACCACGAGCTTGAATCCTAGGGTCAGGACCCTAATTTATCACCGAGAGGTAGGCGGTGAGGGTCGTATAACCCACGGAGGATGCTGTGATCGTCTGAAGCGAGTGTTTGACAAACCACCAGACTCTTCCTGGGTTATACAACCTTACAAACACCCGGCACTCTTCAGGGATACTAATTTATATTTCCTCCTGGGTATAATCTGTCTTCGATAGAAACAGAACGTGAGATCGAAAGTGTTTGCTCATCTCTACGTTCTACATTTTTGAACCTTGTTTCAGTGTTTGCCTTTGCGAGCATTCATCATGTGTGAACGTTATTTATGTAACAGTGTTTCGATACACGTATGAGTGGTACACGCGTAATATTTCAGAGTCCAGATAGCATTGATGAAACGATAAATTGTCGACGGATCATGAGGTGTTAATAGAAAGGTCGATAAGTCTGGAGATTTTCGCAGGATCGTGAACGAATTCGCGAGGTGTTAATAGCGGAGGTTCGGTAGCGAGTACGAATAGGATTTTCGCACGTTGTGTATCGGGTCTATTGAGGCGAGAATCGTCGACGAGGATTGCAGCAAGCGTTGCAGCACGAGGAAGAGATTACGGGCCCGTTCGGGTTCCGTGCTTTCTCCAGCACCGTCTCAATCCTGCGGCATTGTTCGAGCGGCGTCGTCCGCTTCTTCTTCTTCCTCTTCCTCCAGGAGAGATCTTCCCACGCACGTGCCGGCCCCTCTCGTACGGATCCGCTGAATAATTACCAGATGAAGATACCGCCGCCTCGTGTAGGCTGAAATCTCGCCTCCCTTTCTCCTTCTTCGTTGGCTAACTTGCCTCTTTTCTTGCCTTTTAGCCTCCTCCGACGGAAGAGGATTTTGCAACGGTACCTAGGCTGCCTATTCGACGGCGACGCGTCCCTTCGTGGATCATCAACCCACGGGAATCGACCCCTCGTGAACTGTTACCGCTTATTCGCTCTTCCGTGATGACCACCTCGACGTCCTTCCTACAATTAGTATCTTTAATGATTAATCATTTCGGGTTACACCGATGATTGCGTACGTGCAGAAATTTTGCAATTTTGCGGGTATGTTGATGAAACGTGTATTTAAATCTGAGGAGTTTTACATCATCTTACTTCCTTGTGGGAATCTCGGCGACGTAAGAGATTGTGGTTGAGGCTTTAGAACTTTGGGGTTTTAGGACATTGACAGTCACATTTGAATGTTGTCACATTAGGAAGAAGATGATGGGACTTTAAGACTGTGTATTTGTGCTTCGTGACTGGTGAAGCTGGGAGATATTGTCAGCTTGGGACTTTGGGATTATTGATACTGTTAGGACCTTGGGACTATTGATACTGTTAGGACCTTAGGACTGTTCATACTGTTAGGACCTTGGGACTATTGATACTGTTAGGACCTTAGGACTGTTCATACTGTTAGGACCTTGGGACTGTTCATACTCTTAGGACCGATACTGTTAGGGCCTTGGGACTATTGATACTGTTAGGGCCTTGGGACTATTGATACTGTTAGGGCCTTGGGACTATTGATACTGTTAGGGCCTTGGGACTATTGATACTGTTAGGGCCTTGGGACTATTGATACTGTTAGGGCCTTGGGACTATTGATACTGTTAGGACCTTAGGACTGTTCATACTGTTAGGACCTTGGGACTATTGATACTGTTAGGACCTTAAGACTGTTCATACTGTTAGGACCTTAAGACTGTTCATACTGTTAGGACCTTGGGACTGTTCATACTGTTAGGACCTTGGGACTGTTCATACTGTTAGGCCCTTGGGACTGTTCATACTGTTAGGACCTTAAGACTGTTCATACTGTTAGGACCTTGGGACTATTGATATTGTTAGGGCCTTGGGACTATTGATACTATTAGGAAATTGTGGGTCCTTAAAATTTTTGGTACTGTTAGGACGTTAGAATAATGATATCTTCAGAGTAGTGGAACTTTGAGATCTTGAAACATCGATACCTTGGAATTATTGGGACTTTGAGACCTTGAGAATTTGTAACCTTCAGAACTTGTGTACCTTGAGATCTTGGATCCTTGAGAACTTGAGTACCTTGAAATCTTGTATACCTTGAGATCTTGGAACCTTGTGATCGTGCAACCTTCAGGTCCTTATGTCTTTAAATCTTGGAACCTTGAGATCTTCAGACCTTGAGATCTTGGAACTTTAAGAACTTGTGTACCTTGAAATCTTGTATACCTTGAGATCTTGGAACCTTGAGATCTTGGAACCTTGAAATCTTGTATACCTTGAGATCTTGGAACCTTGAGAACTTGTGTACCTTGAAATCTTGTATACCTTGAGATCGTGGAACCTTGAGATCTCGAGACCTTGGAATCTCAAAGCCATAAAAATCCTTACCATCTCATACCTTAAAATTTTGCGACCTCAAAATTTTCCTAAATCGATGTCTCCACATTTCGTCATCCTATAACCTCCCCCTTTTCAAACATAAAAAATCTCAATCCCCTTTAAAAGTTCTAAAACTTGAAAAGTTTGCAGCATTAAAACTTGGAACCCTAAAAACTTAAAAGCTTCAGAAGACCCATAAAATCAATACACCTGCCATATTCGAACCAGACCGTATATTGAATATCCCATTTAAAATCGAGCACGGAAATAATTATAAATTTTTTCCGCCTTGTCATAGAATGATTATAGAATAGAAAATAGAAGATAGTTGAAGAGCCCCTCCGTGGTAATGAAAGCGAAATTGCAAAGGCGCCGGTTTCTTCTTTTTCTTAGGCTTTGTTTCTAATTAACGGCAGTATCGTGCTAATTGTCCAGCTGCCGCGTCTCCGAGGGAGACCTTAGAGATTCCTGCATGTGGGTTGAGCAGGTTCAGCCAGGGATTCTTTTCACTTGATGCAATAAACGTTTCCACGAACGGACGCGACCGAGTGTCATCGAAAGTGAATTCTTTACGCTTCTTTCGCTCCGGCTAATTACTTTCCCCGAGTCATCCTCGCAATTTTTAACAAGAATAATACAGTCTTTGAAGAACAATTTACCTCTCCTTGCAATTTGTAAGACAAAAAATGTAAGACAATCTTGAACCGAAAGTCGAGCTGTTCTTTACGGAAACGCAAGTCTTTGCAAACTCTTAATATTAATAGATAGATCTTAATATTAATACTAATATGAATAGATATCAATTGGGAACTAGTACTAATTTGCATTTTGTATTTTGTTCTTTCAGAGATGGCAAAGAAGATGGTTCGTGCTGTACGACGACGGAGAGCTGACGTACTCGGTAGACGAACACGTGAGTTCCATACAAACTTCTTATTCGATCATTTACAAAGAATCGAATCTGCTTAAGCTATCTCCGTTCGCGGAACGATGAGTATTCAAGTTCGGAATCCACTTAGCCATTGGCAAATCCCTTTAACGTATTGATACGGTTTCATTGAGCTCGTTTACCGTTTACCATTAATACTCGGTTATTGATTATACTTAAGTTGCGTCGAATTTAGACATTGAAAGCACTATTGAAATATTGGGGTTCATGGTCCACGGATTTGGGGATGTAGAGAGGGGATGTAGGAATTGGGAGATGTAAGGATTGGTGGATGTGAGGATTTTGAGGATATAGGAAGGTGGGAATGTAGGGATTTGGGGATGGAGAGAGGTGAGGATGTAGGGATTTGGGGTGTGGGAATTTGGGGATGTAGGGATTTGGGAGTGTAGGGATTGGGGGATGTAGGGATTTGGGGATATAGGGATTTGGGGGTGTAGGGATTTGGGGATGTAGGGATTTGGGGATGTAGGGATTTGGGGGTGTAGGGATTGGGGGATGTAGGGATTTGGGGGTGTAGGGATTTGGGGGTGTAGGGATTTGGGAGTGTAGGGATTTGGGGATGTTGGGATTTGGGGATGTAGGGATTTGGGAGTGTAGGGATTTGGGGTGTGGGAATTTGGGGATGTAGGGATTTGGAGCTATAGGGATTTGGAAATGTAGGGATTTGGAGCTATAGGGATTTGGAAATGTCGGGATTTGGGGATGTAGGGATTTGAGGGTGTAGGGATTTGGGGATGTAGAGATTTGGAGATGTAGGGATTTGAGGATGTAGGTATTGGGGGATGTTGGGATTTGAGAATGTTCACATTTGGAAATGGAGGAATTTGGGGATGTACGGATTGGGGGATGTAGAGCTTTGAGGATGTAGGGATTTGAGAATGTTCAGATTTGGAAATATAGGGATTTGGGATGTAGAGGTTTGGAGACGTAGGTAGACTTGTGGATGGAGGGATTTGGAATATGGAGGTTTGAAGATGGAAGGACTTGCGGATGAAGGGATTTGGGATATTAAGATTTGAAGATGTAGGGATTTGTGGATGTAAGTATATGAGAATGAAAGAAATTAAAAATTATAGAATTTGTGAATAGCTTTAGGGATACAGTATTTGGAGATACAGCAATTACATCTTATAAGAGCTCGGTGCCCCAGAAATTCAATAATACATAACTTTAACCATAGTTATAAGAATTGTAACCTTGACCAGAGTTGTACGAACTTAAAAGTCTACAAATTTTGAAGTTAAAAAACATACATATCCACACAATAAAATTGTGACAATTTAGAAACCTGTACCTTCAAATCTCAAATCGAGAAACAATTTTTATCCTCATCCAGAAGTACACTGCAACCGAACATACTACCGAACGATTAGATAATACTCGATGCAAGCCACGTTCGTAAACGACGATCGGTGAATGGTCGTCGATCTCCGGTTCTTCTTGAAATCGTGAACTGTCAGAAGAGCGGTGTTATGGCAGGCAGTGAATCAAAAGCTGGCTGTTGAAGCGGCTCCCTCGGAGTCTAGGAACGCAAAGGTTGAAGTCAATTGTTGGTTGGTCGAGTGGCTCGTGCAGGGTCATCGACAGCGTCGTCAATGCCTTCGACATCGAACGTGACTACGAAACAGCTGCGAATATCTTGACGTCGATGACCACGTTTATGCTAGAAACTGTCAGAATTGATTTAAGCTAGACGGATGAACGGCCTGAGGACTGTAAATCCTTTACCTTCTGCTTCTACTCGATGTTCTCATTCACGAGTTCGATGGAAGTGTACTTACGGAATTCAAATTCGGTGATGTTTACGGTATTTGTCGTTTATTAAATCGTAGCCTGTAAATAGTCTGTAAATTAGCAAGCTTATGTTTGATCCTCTGAGATGCGTCAGACGTGATGAACTATTCGCTGGTACAATGTTGAGGTGATTAAAGAAAATTTAATAACTGTTGCATTTAGCAAAGCATAACTGTGTTAATTATATTTATTGTTTGAATAGAATCTACTGTATCAAAAATATGAGATAGGTTTGTCATATTTAAACTGCAAGTGCGTCACAAGTACGTCAGGTGTACTGTGTTAACTTTATCTACACATGAACTTATAGTGTTCAACTTCCAGTATATTATAAAATAAGATTCTATAACATAATTCTGTTAAAAACATTCTCTTACATGAACCTTGTTTCCCAAACAAGAAAGTCCAATCACAAGTACTCACGAAGTGTAACTTAAACTTTTATAAACCACCCCAATTGCATCGAAGTCTTGAACCAGTTGGCGTATCGTTTATAGCCGCATCCGACGAGCATACTGAAAGCAAACTGGTTAAAAGTGGTAAGCAAAGGTAATTCGTTGGTATAACGAGCATCGAGTGTCGGGGAACGTGGGAGTCGATTTCATTGGGACGAATCGCGATCGGCGCTGTCTATTCTCGGCGACGTACACGCGAAAACGAAATTAAAATAACGACGTTCGATGGCGAAGCTGATAGCACGGTGTTAAGGGCCCACGAAGGACTGCGGATCCATTTGCTCGAACGGCCGACAACTCGGCCATCTTCGAAGCCAGATTAATGATCCGGTCGCGAGGCTTAAGAGGGCCATTTGTTTCGATAATAATCTCGGTCGAAAAATGTGAAAGAGATAATAAGCGATGCACACCGGATGCGTGTCTCTGGCCCTTGCTCGATTCTGGTCGTCCTTGAGGCGCAATGAGAAATTGGGCTAACGGGTCGGAATTATTCAGACGAAAGTGCTCTCGAGACCCTGATCGCTCGATATATTGTTGCTGATTTTGTTAGGGTCTCGATTGATCATTTGGTCCAACGATGTACACGGTATGTCGAAAAATATGATGGAACTTTTAAAGAATTAGTTATTTTGCTATAATTCATTTTTTTAATTCAAAATGCATCCCTTTCGCTGGACACGCTCTCACAATGTTAACATAGATTTTTTTTATGGTATTAAAATATCGGGGCCCTGAAATGTTGACAATTTACATATTGGTCTGAGATCTCCATTACTGTTTATTAACGTGCAGACTACATATTTCAATCTGTAATTAAAATTACTCCAAGGAAACTTTACTAGCAATATCTCTTTTATTATCTGCATATATACCCGGCAAAACCTTCTTCTTCAAAGAGAACATATATCAACTCGACTTTATTATAAGTCAAATTTTACATGATATATTTTTGCATTTCTAACATCCCAAACTTAACCCCTTGCACTATGAAGTTTTTGTCAATTGTGTTGGGAAAGTAAATGTAATAGCTAGGTGTATTCATAGAAGGAATCTACCTTATCGTTCCATATATGTAAGCGACACCTTTATGTAAATATGTAAAACTATATATATTATGTTTGTATTGTTTCATATATTGTCCTAACAGTCCTTGTAATAAAGGCATTAAGGTAACAACGTGTGTTATTCAAGTAAAAACCTCCAAAAGTGAAAACTAATTAATTAATAACAAAGTGCGTCAGTGAGAACTGACTAATTTCAGTCATAACATGAAAACAGACTCAGAAACTTGAAATGTTATGTGAACTTGGTATCATGCAGTCCCGACAACTCGGCCATCTTCGAAGCCAGATTAATGATCCGGTCGCGAGGCTTAAGAGGGCCATTTGTTTCGATAATAATCTCGGTCGAAAAATGTGAAAGAGATAATAAGCGATGCACACCGGATGCGTGTCTCTGGCCCTTGCTCGATTCTGGTCGTCCTTGAGGCGCAATGAGAAATTGGGCTAACGGGTCGGAATTATTCAGACGAAAGTGCTCTCGAGACCCTGATCGCTCGATATATTGTTGCTGATTTTGTTAGGGTCTCGATTGATCATTTGGTCCAACGATGTACACGGTATGTCGAAAAATATGATGGAACTTTTAAAGAATTAGTTATTTTGCTATAATTCATTTTTTTAATTCAAAATGCATCCCTTTCGCTGGACACGCTCTCACAATGTTAACATAGATTTTTTTTATGGTATTAAAATATCGGGGCCCTGAAATGTTGACAATTTACATATTGGTCTGAGATCTCCATTACTGTTTATTAACGTGCAGACTACATATTTCAATCTGTAATTAAAATTACTCCAAGGAAACTTTACTAGCAATATCTCTTTTATTATCTGCATATATACCCGGCAAAACCTTCTTCTTCAAAGAGAACATATATCAACTCGACTTTATTATAAGTCAAATTTTACATGATATATTTTTGCATTTCTAACATCCCAAACTTAACCCCTTGCACTATGAAGTTTTTGTCAATTGTGTTGGGAAAGTAAATGTAATAGCTAGGTGTATTCATAGAAGGAATCTACCTTATCGTTCCATATATGTAAGCGACACCTTTATGTAAATATGTAAAACTATATATATTATGTTTGTATTGTTTCATATATTGTCCTAACAGTCCTTGTAATAAAGGCATTAAGGTAACAACGTGTGTTATTCAAGTAAAAACCTCCAAAAGTGAAAACTAATTAATTAATAACAAAGTGCGTCAGTGAGAACTGACTAATTTCAGTCATAACATGAAAACAGACTCAGAAACTTGAAATGTTATGTGAACTTGGTATCATGCAGTCGACTATGCAAATTATAGTTGGACTTGAACTCCAAATTGAAATGTATTCCAAATTCGAGTAAAATTGGTCATAGAAGTATGAGTGCGTCACGAGTAAAACTCGTCAAAATACTGTAGGGGTTAAATCATAAACTCCTAAAAAAGAACGCCTCTGTCATGATTTTCGAAGACAGTTGAAAGTTTGTAGATGCATTTGGAGTATGAGAAGATTGTAACAATAAAATGAGAGGAACGAAACTCGCGATGCCATTCGTATCCATCAGGCTCATCGGTGCCCGCGTTGGAATACTCATAATCAAAACAAACGAGCGGAGAAGGCTGGAACGGTTCACGATAGAACTCTTACATCATGTTTCATTGGA